AGAAAAATTATAGCTGACATACAAGCTTGCAATTATTGAGTTATTGTCAAGTTTTTGATATAAATATATGATTGCAAGTGAAACATGATTCATGATATTCTCGTGCATTGTTATTTTATGATATTTAATGACTAACTTACAAAAAATAAATTTGAATCTAAGAATATATCTGCTTACCATTTATCTTTTCAGTCACCTTGTCAGTGCTGGTCTTCTTACAGTACGTGATGTTGGCAGTTGGTGGCTAGCAATACCTGGTGCTGGAATATTCATGAAAACATTTGTTAAAGGTACTAATTGCTATGTTACATGGATGCAATATATAATTGCCACTTTACAACTTGATTAAATTTTAAATGATTAAATACTAATATACAACAGAAGATGTAGAATCTGGGTTGAATGTCATCAATGTGCAACAGCTTGAATTGTAAATACAGTGCTGGCAACTCAAATTATGACACTCCTGAGTAGACGAACATCTACAAAATGTATACTGTAAAATGACTAATTTTCACTGGGTTTATATTTCACTGATTTACCATTTCAGGCATATTCAGTGGGTTTTAAGTTCACGGTTTCGTCATTTAGATAATGTGTTCTATGCTAAATTTTACATATTCACTGGGTTTTAATTTAGCGCATTTTCCAGTCAGCGAAATAAGCTAAATTAAAACCCATTGAATAATTACCCCTTTACAGTATATACACCGAGTAATCTCCACATCTGTATAGATTTCCTAGTCTTATTGCTACTGACATCTTATATTTGGCTTGCAAATTGTAATTGTTTTTTAATACAGTGTTTTTATCTCAATTTCATGTTTTCATAATCTTGTATTCAATAGTAATTAGTGAGTACAAAGCTATACTGTTATACTACCGTTACATGCAAATACTTGTTTATAAGGTTGTCTAATGCTCAATTATTCTGTCTACAATAGGAAGACAGTCGCTTTTAAGAACCATTAGAAAATGCAAATATCAAGAAATACTCCAAAAGGTATGTTTCATATCTTTTTAAAATTTTCCATTCAATATTATTTTCAGTAGCACTATATGTGTCTGATTATACGTTGGTTTCATTGGTTTGTAAGGCCTCATTGATGGTATCAGACACTTTGCGCACTGTTAGTCATGTGACCCATTCTTCAGTCATTGTTTATTGAAAGGCAGTGGTTGTCATGTCATGTTTGATATGGGACCCATTGCAACTTTTATTATGCATGTAAAATATTTTGTTTGTTTACCTGAAATTAAATCACACACTGTGAGGCTGTTGCCCTTCAAATCCACACTTCTCTTCTCATGTGTGTGCAGGTACCGGTAACTACTTCACATTTCTCAAAGATACTTGCAAATATCACACTTTTCACAATAAGCAGGGATTGATCAAGGCATACGTGTATCTATGATCATACCAAAAATTGTAAGAGTTTTTGCCAGAAATTACCAATTAGAAATTAACAGTAAGAATTCTGCAGAAATCAAATAGTATCACAAATGTTTAAGTCTTGGATGGTAGATCCACCCCTGATGAACCTTGTGAATTTGCCACACTTGTGATTTCAAGTTTGGAGTTTGTACATTGTGCAAAGAATGTTCTTACTGAATCTTTCATTCAATTTTATTCTGTTCACCACAGTACAAGTTTGTACCATATTGCGAGTGCAAATTAATGACCGCAACTTGCATATACAGAAATAATTTTATATTCTGAACTGTAAATATCATGACCAGTAGTGAAATAATATTTTAAAACCTATCTAAACTGAACACTTTTCCAGCCTCTTCTTTATATGACTTGTAATTTTCTAGTGGAGCTCAGTTTAGACAGGTTTTACTGTAATTGTATGTTTGTCTTGCTTTACATTGTTTTACTAGAAATAAGAAACAAATTGCGTTGCATTATCTCTAAATTAGGATAACTGATTTGTTAATGTTTCTTTTATTTGATAGAATTTGGAGGAAAAAAAATTAGCAGCAGTAAAAAAACTGGGTATGAATTTTCACATTTTGGATATTATTGGTGCGGAACTTGTAAAAAAGTGAGTATTGTTATTTTGTTCATTCTAAGTCCATTCTGATTATTTGCATACAGCTATCCTTGGGGCGGAGCTACATCACAGAATGTTTCACGTTACTAAGACGTGCACCACTGTACCATGTATTTCTATGGGCCATGCGCTAGCTGCTGTGGAACGCCGGTCGAATGGCCGGTGAAAAGAGTCAAGGAAACAGCACAAAATCAACTATGAAGTAATCCTGAGCAATCAAATGCTTGCTTGCGGAATTGGGCAGTATATATAAAAAATGCCGCTCAATGCGTATGAGAAAAATCCACAATATGCAGCAGATATTGTCACATTGTGAAAAAATAAATTAAAAAATAAGTGACTCATCGAATGTATCTAATCCTAAGTTTTTAATTTTATTTGCAGAATTCAGACGACCTCAGGATGCCTTTTAAGATTAAATGAATAACTATTACTCCTAAACCACATTTCCAGCAAGACAAATATTACATAATTTATTTGGTGTAAACATTTAAAAAAACATTGAAGTTTATTTACAGTTGACAGTGAACAGTATTTACATAATTTAAATTATTTTTACTGAGACAAAACTGAAATACAATATTTTAACTTTTTTGCTCGTGACAAGTAACAAATACATGTACTGGTATAAGTCCTGTTACTTGATATCATTATGTCTTTACTCATTTTGTACGACAAAGATAAATTTAGTTCTGTATGGTACATGGATTGATATAGAATTTAATATTTAACTCAACTGATGTTTGCCACTTAATGTGTTTCACAGATTAGTACCATTTTAGTATCTCGCATGTTCAAGTTCATGTACACCATCACTCCCACAATGCTCTCTTAGTGGTGTGGTTTTTGTTAATATGTCAGCAGTTGTTTTGACAAGGACTACTTTTTGGTCAAAATCATGGGTGTGGTAACTTTTATTCATGTTGAAACCAGTGTTCGTCAATTTATTTATTAAATAGGCATAACAGGTACAGTTGAAGAATGTGAAACTACTTGTACTGCTTTTTTGAACAGGCTGTGACTGCCAAAATTCTGTATACTGTAAAATACTTTATTTTCGCTTGCAACTTATTTTCGCTGAAGGAATGATTCAGTTAAAATAAAATCCAGTGAATATTTCCTATATTTTACATTCAACTCATCAAAAATCAGTGAAAATAAATTCCATACAAAAAACCCAAAAAGTCTAATCAGCAAAAATTAATTCCAACTAAAATAAAGTATTTTACAGTATGACCAAAACAGAGTCAACTTATTGATTTTGAATTTATTTACCTCATTTCATTTGAAAACTCTTGGTGCATTGTCATAAATTTCATTTCTGCAGAATCTGAATTTTTATAACATATTTGCCATACCGGGTACTATATATATGAACCTCACAACTTCAACAAACTGAAATACTTCCCAGCTTATTTGTTGTGCCATAGTTTATTATATATTAAATTTCTTATTTAACAAAACTTGTGAATGGATGTATTTTTATAGTCCTTGTCAGGTATTATTCGAATCGGGGACCTGTGTTTTGGGGTGTGTGTGTGTGTGTGTCAGACCATGGAAGGTACTAACGAATACCTTCCATGGTCAGACCATAATCTTTTCTCTAACAAGGATTAACTCCATCAGTATCTGAAGTACGACTGTAACTTAACTTTGTATCAGCCAGTACTCCTGAGTGTCCATGCCCTAATGTACCTAAATTTGCAGAATTCTAATGTGTAGCCACCATCTGAGTCTCCTAATTTGCAGTGACTTTTTGTTCTTTCCCTGGGGGTTGGCAATAGCCATTCAGTTGTCCAAGACAATCTAGTGGTGGGTCATGCCTGTGTTCTCTCTCCCAACTCCCCAAACCAGTTCTGCCTCAGTATTCAACAAGTGCTAGTTTTCCTGGTTGTAAGCCTCTGTATGGGATCCAGTGTTCATTCCACCCATGGTGAAAAGCGAGTGAGGGTGCTGTTGGTTATCCCGAGTGTTAAGCATTTACAGAACATTAACCATCTATGAGACTCAAAGAGCGACACCTTCTGCCAATATCTGCACCAATCACTTGCACTTTGTCTTGCTGCAGTGTACTAATTTGCAACAAAGCTTTCATCTACTTAACATTTACTACAATAACCCGAGTGTGTCTTATCAGATATTGGCATTGAACAACGAAGATCTTTACTGTTTACCACAGATCTTAATCAGTATTATACTGTAAATTTAGATGCTACATAAACAAGCATTTTGTAATGCACAGTCCCCATTGTGTATGGTACTTGTATAAAGATCAAAAGCATATAGGATTCTGTTTGTTATGACGTGAGGAACTTTGTATGTGACATAAGATATAACAATAGTGGTATTTTTCACTATGGAGATATGTAATGCATGTGACAATGAATGATAGCAAGAAATGTCAACAGCATACTGTAAAATACTTTATTTTCGCTTGGAATTAATTTTCGCTGAAGGAATGATTCAGTGAAAATAAAATCAATACAAAAACACCTAAAAAATATTTTCAGCGAAAATTAATTCCAGCTAAAATAAAGTACTTTACAGTAGTACAAATTATTAATATACTACCAGTATTCATGTCCATTGTGACTGAAAAATAACCAAATCACATAGTTTATTTGTGTTCAATATCAAAACTATACACATTTAAGAATAATTTAGCTCCCAGTCCTGTGCATAGTGAACATTTTTTACATATGCAAAAAGTGCATGATGATGTAGTACTAGAGTGACCTGATTGATGGATCAAGTCAGCCATCCTTTACAAATCAAAGTGATGAGCATCAACCTCCAGTAATGGTTACTTCATCCACCAAATTTGAAGAAAATTAAACCACAAGGTCTGGTTGTGGACATGTCAAAATACAGTGTTGTTTTTACAGCTAAAACAGTCAGCAGTTGGCCATCTTTGATCAGAAGACATAATTCTTGTATGTGTGTATGTATGCCATCATGTACTGCCTATGTATAATGTTTGAAGTGAATTGCTCAAAGCATACTTAGTACTGTAAAATACTTTATTTTCACTTGGAACTAATTTTCGCTGAAGGAATAATCCAGTGAAAATAAAATCCAGCAAATATACTTTTTTTTCAATATTTTACATTTAACTCGTCAAAAATCAGTGAAAATAAATTCCATACGAAACACCAAAAAAGTCTTTTCAGCGAAAATTAATTCCAGCTAAAATGAAGTATTTTGTATGTCTGGAATAGAAAATGACCACCAGTCGGCCATCTTGGGACTAATTTACAAAGCACAGTGATGTGCATAAACTACAAAATATGGAGGTGTTAGCGCGAAATCACCCCGACTGGTTTATTCTGCAGTAAATTCATTGCTATTAAATACGTGCATAATGAGGTCAACATGGTGAAGGTCACACTGCCGAAGTGTTCTTAGTCAGAGGTCAGTTGAAGAGATGTTGTGATTGGCTTAGATGATTGTCAATTAGAACACTTAACATAATTACCCTTTGAAAAATCAACGGGTTCCTGCAGTGTCGATAGAGGGCCATGCAGAATAAACCAGTCAGGGTGATTTCGCAGTTACAGGGGATTTCGTGTTAACACCTCCATTTCGCGAATTTGTTTATTTTATTTAAACTACAAAAACAAATTAATCGCCCCAACTGAGCCAGTCTAACACACACTTGCACAGAGACTGAACTATGAGTCCTCATTTCCAATGTTTATACAAGGACTAATAATAAATAAAGTAATTAATTGTAATAAAATGTGTGAACATTTTTGTTCCTTTATTAGAATTTTATTTGAGAAATCAATGATGATTTTGCAATTTTATTTTCCCCATAGAGACGTGATATTCCCCACATATGGTACTGGTAAACACATTTTTTTTTAGAGACGAGTAACTTAGAGAAAGTTGTAATTAAAGTCAAATTAATCACAAAATCAACACTTCATCACAGACACCTGACCTACTGGAAAACTGACACATTTAAAGGATAGGATAGTACATGTATGTTTCACTGTGTTATACACTATCCAAAGATATTTATGACCAAAATTGTTACCCTTATATAGAATATAAATACAACCCTCGAAGGCCACAGCAGGTTGTCTAAGGTTATTTGAGTTGGGAATACTTGCAACAAATTCCCATTTGTGCATGTCTGGAACATAATAATATATTAGTGTTGTGTTAACCGCTTCTTGGAATGGCGTAACACTACCACCGAGTCTATAGAGTTTATTATCAACAGTGACTGTAGTATGGTCACACCAGCTATATGTCTTGTTACGCATCCTGCATTTCCATCTGTCGGTTTTATCATCATACCATGACACAGTGTTGTAGTAGTTTGTCATGTAGCGTCCGCCAGTGATGTAAAGTTTATTATTGCACACAGATCCTGATAAACCATACAAAGGCATACAGTAGGAAGCGACGTATGTCCATGCATTTGTAGTAGGATCGTAACACTCAACAGATTTTGTTAGAATATTGTGTTTCTCTTCATTTGATTTCTTAACTATTCCACACACTGCATACAGTTTATTGTTGTATGCACCCAAATAAAAATGACAACGGGCCGTTTTCATCGATGGAAGTTGTAACCATGAGTTTGAACGAGGATCGTAGCGATACGCTGCTGCTGAACAAATGTTATCCGTGTTACAGTAACCCCCGGCAATAAACATAAAATTGTTAAAGACTGTGGCGGAAGAATACATCAACAAATTTGGTTTATGTGTAAGTGTTTTGAAACCAAAACTACTTTTCACGGAAGGTACGTTGCAAGTGCAAATTGAAGGATAAGAATGGAAGTCTGTTATGACTAGTTTATCTTGCGCGTTACACAGTCGTAGTTGTGTCCTTGGTGTTTGGAGTATTGGCTGAGAGAAAATTTTTTGATGGTACTTCATCGCCTCGTTCACCAGTTCTGAACACAGACTCATCATGCTGATTTCTTCATCAAAAAGTTTTTTCAGCAATTTTTCAGAAATCAACGACAATCTGACAAACTGCAATAACTTGCCAATGCATTCTTTATGCATTTCCTCGTTGGAATGAAACCACTTAGCTAAACCGTAGAAGAGTTTAATCTCATCTAGAATCCAAATATTTTCATCTTGCAGTACATCTGACAACTGCTCATAACTAAGTTCCTGAACGGTGTTGTTCAATATCTCATCAAACCACTTCAAGACAGCATCCCTAGCAGACTTATGCAAAGCAGGGAGGTGGTACAACTGGGCAATTTGGAAATAAAGAATGCAGTTTTGAACGGACAGGTCTGATTCCAAACATGAAGTAGCATATGCCAAAATAGCTTGGCTTTGAAAAAACGTTGCAGTAGAAATAAAATCCTGTGCATTCTCTGAGTGGATATCTAGTTCTCCACAGTACAAGAAGTCAAAATATGCTTTGAATCCCTCCTCGGTGACAGCATTGATTTTTATATCTTTTTCTCTGCTTTCTTTCATTTTAGACTTGAACATGGCTTTGAAATAATCACTGCTAGCTGCCAGCAGACTCCGATGAGCTGCATAGGATGTGTCACACACAAATAAATTCACATCACAGAATAGATTATTTTCCTGGAATTTCTTCCATCCTTTCAGTTGTTCTTTTTCATAATCACACTGTAGATGGTGGTCTGTACCACTATCTTTTTCTTCTTTATTGTTAAAGTATTGCAAAAGAGATCTGATTTCATACTGCAATGCAAATGCATACACCATTGCTCGATTATCTTCATGGATTTCTGTAACGAAAAAAAGGGAAATTAGTATTTAGAAATAAGCTTATCTGTGATGTACTACCATGATCTTGTCACTTGCCAACAGTTGTCATACTGATAATCCCAAAACCACATATTATATTGAAAATTTAGATCTACCAGAAAGCAATAAAAAATACAGTGGTTACCGTAATTTTATTTTCGATTGAAACAGATAACATAACATTTGTCATAATTTGATCTAGCATCAGGAGGGTCAGCGAAAATGCGATGCACACAACACAATGTCATGCTAATGGTACAGTTTGCCCCTCCCCCCCAAATCTCATATGGTAATCTGATGAATGAGTTTAACGAGTAAAAAGTAAA